TTGGATATATTTATGTCATGTCACTTGGGTTATGCTCATTTGCTTAGCTTCCGCGTTCTACTCCGATTCAAATGAGCTTTATATTTCGTACTCATGCTTAATTCATATCTTGTGTGTACATTGTGTTGGCTTGGGTCATATAAGCATGCCTAACCCCCCTGTTCTTATTATCAAATGCTTATATGAACCAAGCATGTTGAAAACCTCACCCATCTCTTATACACATACTCGAAGTAGTGTTGTCATCAATCACCAAAAAGGGGGAGATCTAAATCATCTAGGCCCCTAGCTGAGTTTTGGTAATTAATGACGACATAAGATTACTATGGCTAATGTGTGTTTTGCAGAGGCAATTTGAGTTAGGTCATGGTAATGATGATTGTTTGGGCAATTATGGTTTTTATGCCCCTATCGATGGAAATTATTTTGGTTTTCAAAGGATGGACGACAAGGTTAAGGACAGACTAGTTCTAAGTGTCATTTAGAGTTGGAGAGACACTTAGAGTAGTTTAGGACTTTGTTTTTCCTTTGACCGTACTGTTAAGGGGGGTATGAATGAGTAGCTTGACCTAGGTAAGTCTAATGGTTTAGGTGTGGTGCACACTTGTCAAACCTAGCACTAGGTAGCTCAGGGTTTGCCCTAAGATTGATTGGAGACACTCATTCATGAAGATGTTGAATTAGAAGTGAATGGAGTGCTCATTTACTGATCGGATGCTGGTTTGGTAGTGACAAGACGTAGCAGTGCGAGTCCGGTCAGTACATTTGCTCGGCAGCAGAAGGCAGACTACGACCGAACGTTGAATAGTAATGTTCACTAGATGCACCGATGATCACAACTGTAGTAGCATGGACTTGCTGTTGACTGGATCAGACGCTGGCAGGTAAGTGACTGGACGTAAGGCTTGCAGAGTCCAGTCAACAACAGAGAAGGTCTAGAGAGGATAATTCTTGACCAAACATGTCAGGTGGATGCTGACCAGCGTTAGGTCACTCTAACGATCAAGTCTAACAGCTGATATGTTCGTGGCCGTTGGCCACTGACCGGCGCGTCCGGTCACCTTGACCTGCGCGTTCGGTCACTATGTAAATGTGCTGAGTTGGACAATAATGGTTATGTTTTGAAGTAGGGAGTACAAATACTTCTCCCACTCGTTCAACTTAGCTCTCTTGCCCATTTGTTTAGCTGAGAAACACCTTTGGAGTGCAAGAGAGAGCAAGAGCTTAGTGGGGTGATTGAGATTTGAGAATCCAAGATTAAGGACCTCATTAGTGCATAGGGAGTAGCAAGTGTGCATCCACCTTTGTCTTTAGGCTTGTTTTGGTCAAGTGAGAGTTTGTGCTTGTTACTCTTAGTGATCGTCATCACCTAGATGGCTCGATGGTGATTGGAAGCTTGGTGATCATCCGACAAAGCTTGTGGATGACCTAAGTCATGGTGTGAGCGGTTGTGGGTGATTCACCGTGATAGAGTGTCGAAGAATCAGCCCGTAGAGAGCACTTGATCCTTGCGTGGATCAAGGGGGAGCTATACCCTTGCACGGGTGATCCAATGAGGACTAGTGGGGAGTGGCGACTCTCTGATTTCTCGGAAAAACATTGTTGTGTTCCTCTCCTTCTCTTTACTTTGAACATTTATATTTGAGCAATTCAATTCATGTCTTTACATTCTTAGAATTGCCATGCTAGAGTAGGATTAGAACTTATGGTGCAAAACTTTTATGCAATAGAACAATAGAAACACTTCTAGGCAGAAGGGGATAAAATGGGCTAAGTGTAGGGCTTAATTATTGAAAGAAATTTAGAATTAGCCCAATTCACCTCCCCTCTTGGGCATCTTGATCCTTTCACACCTCCATGGCAAAGGTTGCTCACACATGATGTACCTGTGGACTAATCACCTGTGTATCTCACTCAAAAACATATTAGTTCACCTAAGGTTGTCACTCAATTACCAAAACCAAACAAGAACCTTTCACCCCAATGTCACCAATTAGCGACCATTATCTCAGGTCATCATAACGACAGAACGAAAAGAGACGCTCTCTTTTATGCATTATAGCTACTGGCAATTGGGAAGAGGACCCCAGTCAGCCCCAGCATTTCGCCTAGGTGAAATAGCAATCCAACAATGGGGCCTCCCATGCGCTAGAGCGGAGCGGCCGAAAGGAGTATGAGTTATAGCCATTACTCTTGTGAGTCTAATTGTGTTTTTAGGTTTTGCCACGGCGGTCGGCTGTGTGGTTTTAAAGCGCCAAGGGGATTTCGCTCGGTTGGGCCCGTGGATATAAAGGATGCGGGGACCAGGCGGGAGCTGAGGCCGGCGGTAACCAGGGGAGGCATTGTCCATGGTTGACGCCGGTGTCCGGATGAAGACGGAATAGACCTCGAATATGTAGTGGTTGCAAGGGTATTTTTGTCCATTGAAAGCCTACGGGCGTGCATAAATAGTGCCCCAAAGGGGTTGTAAGGAGAGGAAGAATAAAACCCTAACTCTTTCGATTGACAGGGAATATTTCGACGTCATTCATTCCTTTCTTTCATAGTCATCCGAGTGGATGGTTGGGCAACAACATGGTGTTCGAAAGCTAAGGGCTAGAATAACATTGACGTTCCACTGTGGTTGTTGCTCGAGCTTACCATGGCCCCAAAGAAAGGAACGAAAACAGGCAGTGAGAATGCGGAGACATCCAAGGCAGCTGCAACTGCCACTACGGCGAAATCAGCAGCGAAAGCCGCGGCGACAGCTGCAGCGATAGTGGCGAAATCGAGAGGCTACCATCCACCAAATAGGTAATCTAGCCTTGATTTTGACCATCCTCTTTAGCTCTACAGATGAATATGACTAACATATCTGCAACTAGATTAAAAAAATAAGTGGGAGTGGACCACCTTGCCGTAGGACTTTTTTGTTTTGAAAATAACACCTGACATTATTGTTCAATTTTACAACAACACTCCAACTAGAAATAAATTGTTGGATCATTGATGCAAAAAGGTGCAAATCCTTTCATCATTAGCGTTTGCGGGAGGAAAGTCCATTTTACTTTGTCATATACTTTCTTAAAATAAACTTTAAAATTATTTTTTTGACTCGGACTTTAAAATTATTTCGTTTAGTTTTTCCTTATGCAATTCATGGATTATTTCGTGCAAAATCATCTCTCCCTTTAAAATAAATCAACTTGGAAGGAAGGTTGTCCGGGACGCTTGTATTACCTTCTATAAGCCACATTATATATTTTATTTGTCCCTACTTTGTAAATATTGTGAAGCTCACATTTAAAAGTTAGATAGATCCGTATTGTTGAATGATAATTGCCTCTTAGCATTTTGATAGAAGTGTTATGATTCCGAAGTTGAGAGAAAAAAGGGTAGATAGTGAAAGTGAATGAGCCTACGACGCTTGGGCACTTTGCTTGTCAGTTGTGTTTTTGGCATCTTGTGAGTGAATTAGGGTGACTATGGTCCGTAGAGGGCCATATATAATACACAAGAATTTTATAAGAACCATAGAGAAATATAGCAAGCACCGTAATTTGCAATGCGGACAAGTTTTGCTGAAATTTGGCTTATGCTGATGCTTATGCTGATTTGTTGTGAGAGAAAAACACTATCCGTTCGCTGAAAAGTACTGCTGAAGTAGTTCAAGCAAACAAGGCTATATCACGCGGGTGCGTTTCTTTTGGTAATGCTACGAAGTGGGCGTCCAGTATCGCTCCGTGCGCCCCGCACCCTCTTGCGCCATTGCTCACTCCCATGGCCGCGCTCGCTTTGCGTGCACCGTCTGCCCACCCACGCCATTGCTCGCTCCCGCCCGCTAGGATCGCCTGGCCGTTGCGCGTCCTGTCTGTCGCTGTCGTCTCGCCAGGCCACCTCCACCGCGTCAGTTCACCGCGCCGCCCGTCCATGTTGCACTGAAAAACGTATGTTGCAAATGTACGTGTCAAGTATTTTAGATGTTGCAGAGGTACGTTATAAATGTTTTATATGGATGTTGCAAAAGTATATCTGGATATTGCATATGCTGCAGTGGCTATACACGTACGTTATAAGTTCTATTGAAAATGTTTTATCTACTTCAGATGTATGTTACAAATATTTTTATATATATATATATATATTGCAAAAGTATGTTCTAAATATTTTCTCTGCTATATACTGAGCAGGCGCAGACGGTCCCCTCGTGCGTAATACCGAGCGGGCGCAGGCGGTCAACGCGATACGGCCGGTGTAGCAGCAGACGATACGACGCTGCAATAGAGCAGGCAGCCACATGCGGTACGGCGCAGCAGCAGGCGGGGGGGCTGCAACATGCCAGGGCGTCCGGACTCGTGATTCTGTCCTAGCCCTTTTCGTTAGGCCTTCCCAATTAAATTGTGAAAAAGTGCTACAGTAGCTATTATATCGAATCTTGTGATACGTGTATAGAGTATTAAATGTAGATGAAAAAAACTAATTGCACAATTTGGTTGGAAATTACGAGACGAACGTTTTTAGCCTAATTAGTCTATGATTGAACACTAATCGCTAAATAAAAACGAAAGTGATACAGTAGCCAAATTTCCAAAATTCGCGAGGCCTTAGAGGGATTAGAGGGATGAAGAGACTTGCTGTGAACTAGCAAGTGTCACTGTCCTCACAACACAAATACATTTATTTACAAATATTTATTCCAAATTTGAAATATAATTATACATGAAATAATTATTCTCTTCTGACGATAACAAGGCAATTAAATCAATGTAACAAATTCATTTTTTTGGAATAATATAACAAATTCTTATGATAGCACGGTATGCAATCCTGATGAATGAACTACCGATTAGTGTAGCAAAGAGGCTACAAATCACCTAGACTACTTTTGTTTTTTTATATACTATACTATTACTGTTCTGCTTCCGGTCATCAGGCTGACGGAACAGAGGAGCGGAGGAGAAGGCACCGGCAAGCGAGGCGCCGGAGCCCCCCGAGGACTGTGGCGACGTGCCAATGCTCCACTAGCCGAGGAAGCGTCCGTTCCCGTGGCCACCGAAGAGCCCGTCCATGATGCCGCTGGGCTCGGCGGCTTCGAGAATCCTCGAGTAGTCGAGGTAATCGGCCACGTCGTCGTCGCCTGCGGCGACCTGCGACTGCGACTCGAGCAGCGTGGCGGGCGGGCCGGCCCTGGCCACGGCGGAGGCCGCCTCGGCGTCCCTGGCACGGCGCGCGGCGTCGGCCTCGGGAAAGTTGAGCTTGGCGCGGCCGCTGCGAAAGCGGAGCGCGGCGGCGTCGTAGGCGCGCGCGGCGTCCTCGGCGGTGGCGAAGGTGCCGAGCCACACCCGCGCCGCCTTATGCGGGTCCCGGATCTCCGCCGCCCACTTCCCCCACGGCCGCCGCCTGACCCCGCGGTACTTCCGCGCCGCGGGCGCGGGCGCGGGCGCCGGCGTCGCTGGCTCGTGTGCCGCCACCCCCGCGAGCTGGCCACGGTGGACGGCGCTGTCGTCCGCGCGGTGCCACGGCGGCATGACGAGCGCCGGCGCCTGGCGCGGTGGCCCGCGGCCGCTGGATACGACGTGCGTGAGCGCCGACACGATCGCCGCCGTCTCCGCCGCCAGCGACTGCTCCGAGCACCCCATCGTCGGCGTCGACGTCGTGGCGGTGTCTGCGGCTGCTTTGATCTTTTCCCAGCATAAAGCCGCATGGCATCACGAACGCTCCCTGTTTTTATAGCTCATTCTCCGAGAGAAATGGCAGGGAGAGCAAGAGGCCAAGAGCACGCCGCAGCGTCGTCGCCACGCGGAAGCGAACTTGGATTAGGCCTGCGATTAGCAACAGCAGCAGCAGCCCGCGGCAAGGACGAGTACGCAGGCACGCGCCTTCCCCTTCTTGAAGCTGCTAACAGCATTGCGACGCCATAAAAATCAACGAACCGACCTAGGCAAACGCTGTCTTGGCGGCTAAGGATACGACGGTGCGTAGCAGTGTAGCACGCTGCCATGGCTATGGATGTCATCGTCTGACGTCTGCAGTCTGCATTTCCCCGTTTGGACTCTTCTTCGTTTGGAAGAAACCTCAGACGGAACAAAAGCTCTTAGAAGCCGCGAATCGCCGAGACTGCTAGTGGATACTGGATAGGAAGCGAAAGCAGAGATACATACATTATTTTATTCATATAGAAGGAGAAGAAATGTTTTCTTGGTCCCAATTTTAATATCGACATTTCCAAAAATATAATTTCAGTCTAGTCAACTCTGACGTCAGACTGCTGACGTAACATTTGCTTCCGCTAGCAGGATTGTCCTATACGTGGCCGAGGGGGAAGAACCGCATTTTTTATTGGGGAAATTCCTTCTAAATTATTCAAAACTATAATTGTTCCATATGTATGTACCGCGTGGGCTCCTGGGTCGGCTTCACTTGCCATATTAAATCCACATATATTAGGAGGGAATGGGTTTGTATGAATAACCCCTTAAAAAGAAATCAGATTCTAGGAGGTCTTGCATGTTGCTTATTCTTTACGTTACACTTTAATGGCAATTGTGCTGACACTTAATCTCTGTGTTGGTAGCGGTTCCAAAAATGTCAATATGCCAGGACAAGACTTGTAAGAACTGAAGGGCGTGGATGGGGCCTTGTGGCTGATGAGAATATTATGGTGAATGAATTATGTTGGTGCTTTTTTTCCTTATATCCTCCAATATACTGAAGTGAATATGCTTAAGGGTCCGTTCGGTTGATCAGGAATGCACCAGGAATTATTCCAACTGCTCAAAACTTATATAAATTTGACAACCAATCCAAGCAGGATTCACTACTAACCGAACGAGCCCTAAGTAACTTGGAACTAAAATGATTTTAGGCTGGTCAATTTGTTATTGAATATTGTGGAGAAGTAATATCATGGAAGGAAGCCAAACTTAGAGCTCAAGCTTATGAAACCCAGGGTCTGCAGATACTCTCTCCCTTCTAATATTTGAATTGTGGCACACTGGTCCTTTTTTAGCTAGCTATAACATCTAGCTTCTGTAACTGTTAGGTTTAAAGGACGCCTACATCATTTACCTCAATGCTGATGAGTCAATTGATGCAACAAGAAAAGGGAACCTTGCGAGATTTATCAACCATTCATGGTAAAGTTTGTATTAAACGTACAACATATTTAAATTTCATTCTTGCTTCTTATGTGTGTGATTTGATTATTGAAACACTAGTGTCAAGCACAAAACTTTAGTTGTTGTATGCCAATCCTCTTTGTCAGACATTGGAAGATTGATTGATTGCACTTGTTTTCTGCATTTGCTCATTTTCTGACATAATGTTTTGAGCCTTTGTGCTATATACTTATTGCTTGGAAGATTGACATTCTGCATCATTATCTGGCCATTTTTGTATTTCCTTGTAAGTTGATATTTGATATGTTCAATAGGTGCCTAATGAGCTTTGTTGATTGGCATGTTGCAGGAGGCCACGTACCTGTGGGAAGATGATGATGACAGGTTGGTTGCACTTGTTTGACCTTATGTTAGTCTCTGTACAATATAATAATGTTCCGTTGTTCTTTTCAAAATATATTTGACATGGACCGATGAGAAAGCTTTGATTCTACCTCAGTCAGTTTCTAAACTTAGGTTCACTTGGATTATCTCTGGGAGAAGTTTTATGTGCTTGTTTCTAATAGGCAAATAATTTTGTTTACCAACATATTTGCTTTGCCTGTTAAGATAAACTGGAAGAAAGACTGAAAACTTATTAAATGGCACATGCAGGACTTCGCATATTTTAACCAATATTAATACTACTTCATGTTTTGATTTATCATCACAGAGAGAGGAAAGAAAATCAGTGCTGACTTTTCTAGATATACATTAAAAAGGGTGTACCCAGTGCAGAGAGCCTCCGCTCTGTGCAGGGTCTGGGGAAGGGTGTCAGTGGCAAGCCTTACCCTCGCCTGTGCAATGCGAGGAGACCGCGACTCGAACCCGGGGCCCTCCGGTCACAGGCGGTAAGACTCTACCGCTTGCACCAGGCCCGCCCTTCTTTCTAGATATGCATTATGTCTAGAAAAGCTAAACAAATTAGAATTTGGAATGGAGGGAATACTTTTTAGTGAAAAGTATGCTTGCTCTGGTTTCCAGATCTACTTATCCTGACTAGTAAAATCTTTGATGCTTGAATAATTTTCTTTATGGATGCAATGATTTTGAGTAGCAATTATACAACAATTTCTGTTGATCTGTGCAGGTTTTCTGTTGAGAATATCCCTCTTTATGATTCTGCTGACGATGAACCAACAAGCATTAACAAGGATATCCTCTTATCAAGTCATGGCATGGTTACTGAATACAGCAGCATCAGCACAGTCCAGAGTACCGAGAATCCTGGAAACGCTGGAACAAATGAATTTGCACCAATTATTGTCGACGAACTGACAGCAAGCTCAAATGGATTAGCACCAATGAATATTGAACCATTGACTGCAAGCTCAAATGCATTCACACCAATGACTATCGAGCCATTGAATGCCATGCCAATGGTAGCTCATGTAGTCGAGAATGGGTCAACTGAATATAGTGTACAAGGCACTAATGATCATGACGTTTCTCAGAATTCAGTGCCCAAAGCTGCAAATCATGCGAATCAAACTGGATCTCAAAACAACAGCAACCATTCAGCGTTGGTCCCTGTAAAGTCCGCACCGAAACGTCGTGGTAGGAAACCTAAACGCGTTCTGCACAAGCAGCTGGATATTCCAGATATCTGTGACCGGCTTACATCATCTGTGGCGTGCGAAGAAATACTGTCTTGTGAGGTAATGGTCTGCTATGATTAAAAACTCCCTTCTCTTGAAGCAGTATAGTAGTGGCAAATCCTGTGAAGTTTAAATGCATGCAACATTTATTTAATCCATCTAATTCTGCAGGAAGTGAAGAATCAGGCTTTTTCCGAAATCGACGCCCTGTATGATGAGATAAGGCCTGCGGTTGAAGAGCATGAGAGGGATAAGCCAAGACACACAAGCCTCGCGGAGAAGTGGATCGAGGCCAGCTGCTGCAAGTACAAAGCCGAATTCGACCTGTATGCTGCAATAATCAAGAACATTGCCTCCACACCGCTAAGATCGAAGGACGATGTGGCCCCGAGAGAGCAGAACGGATTGAAGTACTTGGAGAACGGATCATGATTTAGCTTGAATGAACGCCTTCATCAATCTGTAGTTTAGGAGGTAGATTGTTTTTTTTTTTACTGTGAATGTGATTGGTCTTGTATTTAGGTAGAGCGCCATTGTAAGGTTACAGAGTTATAATAACGTGGAATCATATCATACACACATTCGATCTCATGTTTATGTTGTCTAGGTTTGCTAACACGATCTGCAGGTGAGCGACACTGGTTGGATTTCAGTTTATGAGCCGAGCAGGTGGATTGGTGGGCAAAATGGATCTCGATGGCATCGCATCTTTGCTCCTACATTAAGATACTGAGCACCATCTCAGAGCGTTAAATTTCTTGCATTGGGCGAGATGCACACTTGCACAGGCACAGCTATTGGACTTACAAAACTATTCTTTTAATAATAATAAATAATAGAGAATAGGATTTTTTTTGTCCGTAAATAACGAGATTTGTTTGGAGTTTGACTTTGGACTTCTTTCCCTTCGGCAAACAGCCCGGCGGCACTTTTCCTACTCACCCGCGTGCCCGCGCGCGCTCTCTCGTGCGGCAGCTGGGCGACCGCCGCCCTACGCCAGGTGCCGAGGTCTTCGTCGGTACCTTCGCCAGGTCGTTCGCCGGGTCCTTCGGCGGCGACGAGCACCCACCACCACCAGGTATGCGCACCCTTTCTCTTCCCTACTATGCGAAACCGAGCACCCGAACCCTAACTTAAGCTATCTGGCTATTTGCATTCGGATCTGTTCTGAGCACAAGTGTATACATGCCTTCTAACTTCGACTTTTTTAAAAAAAATACGGGGTGTACATTTGCATTGCGTGCTCATGGTTACACTCATGTCCTTGTACTTTCTCCGTCCACTGCTCTTAGCATAAGTTGATGTTGAACTTACTGTGTATTGGGCAATGAGACTGCATGAAGTCTTGAAGAAGTTCCAGTTTGGGACAATAGCATTGCCAATTTTCATCTGAAAACTGGGCTTGTTGATTTTGCTGAAATAACTATTCAATGTGCCATGCTTTATTATAAATAAGGAGCTGACGATGAGTGATTTGCCGTTGAGATAGAGAATTAGAGATACCCCCATACACTTTTATTATTATTTAAGTGTTCACACTTGGCTGCCTTATTTGCTGTACTATCACATCAATGCCCGGGCATTGATTCCTTTAATTTTGTCCTTTGGTCGTTTTTCTTATTAAAATTTTTTATGAAGACTATTTCTGCTGGTTCAGGTGCGAATCATGGGGAAGTTCATGCATGACAATCGACTGCTTTCTCAGAGAGAAGTAAATAGACGTCACTATAGTCTTGCGGCAGTTGCTGTCGGTTTGGGACTAGGAGCTGCCGGGTTATGCAAGGCATTGCATAGTGGTTTGTCCATACCATGGGTTTATCCAAGGAATTTATTTTTGGGGTCAGGGAGAGTATACTATGTTGGAGGTCTGCGAAATCTTGGCAACAATTGCTTTCTTAATGTCATCCTCCAGGTAAATATCGACTCTGTAATTCTACTAACATCCAGCTGGGTTAATGCTAAATAAGATAGCCTTTCCTTGGCAGGCACTTGTCAGCTGTGATGGTTTTATTTCCTTTCTAGATAATTTGCTTGCAACTGATGGCTTGCTACCTGAAGAAAAGGCTGTAAGAATGCCTCTTCTTCTCGCTCTAAGTTCTCTCTTGGAAGGTAAGATTGTTACTATGGACTATTGAACTTCTTATCATTTTCGAGATCCCCCACTTTGAAATCTTGTTACTGTGGACTATTGAACTTCCTATCATTTTCGAGATCCCCACTGTGAAATCTTGTCACAACTCTAGATTCGGTTTCCATTGCAAGTATTGTCCCTTTACTGCAGTAAATTTCAGGGGGGGTCCTTCTATTGAGATTTTTTGAATTGTATGTGAACCCCTATACAGTACGGGCGTGATTGGTTCTGGAATGTGCCCAGCCTGGCTAGCTGCTGCGAACCAGGCCACCGCTGGCCAAGCTAAGCGCATGCAGGATGACGCTGTTTGGTCGTGGCCTGGCTCCTGCGAGAAAGTGTTTGGTTGCCTGTTTTTTCATCATGAGATGCCTTTCCGCTTTGTTGTGGGCAGGAGCGTCGCACCTCGCGGGCCTGGCTCACGAGAAATGGAATTCATCCGCGTTTCCGCGGTGCCAGGCCGAGACACGCCGCTTGCACCCGCTCTGCCAGGTTTGGATGGTCAACCAAGCAACCAAACAGCTAAATGTTGCATCCCTGTAGCCTGTTTGTCCTGGATACACCCAACCAATCACACCCTACATGGCTTATAAGTTCAAATATCAAGTGGGGTCCTCAGCTGCATACGCAATATAATGCATCGGTGGTGGAATCCATACACCCTGTAATTTTTCAACAGTGTTTTCTCCTATGCTCTAATCTTCTTGGGAATTGATGGGTCCTTGTTATTTGCATTGCTTGGATCCTTTGCCCCACATAATATATTCTTGGTTCTATATAAAACCACTGAATGGGACTTATTTTATTTTTCCGCTTTATTCTTCTGAAATTAGTCATGTCCTGCAAAATGTAAATGTATGACACTCTGTTCTTCCTGCTGCCATTTGATTATAAATGCTTTTTGGTTACATGATCATAAATTGTTATTATTGTACCTGAGCTTTGCATGTTGCAGACTTGAGCATAGTTCGAGATGAAAGAACTGTGTTGAATCCACATGGAGTAATGCATGCTTTGAGTTTCTATGTTAGTCACTTCAATTTGACCAGACAGCAGGTATAATATTTACTTCTCTATCTTGTTTTCATATTTTAGTATTGTATTAGATGAGCAGTCATCATGGGAACTAATTTTCCTTATAGGACACTTCTGAAGCTTTTCTCCATCTTCTGATCTCATTGAGGGATGAATTTTCCCATTGTTATGTACCACATAGGAGTTCTCTGGCAGACATCACCCTTTCTCACTCCAAAGTATACAAGCAAAGGGAAGGTAACCTGCCTGAATGCAAGCGCTGGAAACAAAATCTATTTGGCCCCTTTGATGGGACAATTGGCAGCATATTGTCTTGCAGAAACTGTTCATGTCAAGTGCCTCAGCACCCAACGATGCAGGACCGCGGCTACGAAGCTCGTAGTCGCGCTCCAGGCTTCACCGCGAGGTTTTACCCCTCAGCTGGTGGCTTGACGAGAATAGGAGAGAATAGATTAGATGGTAATGACTTGCTTAATTGATATTGTTCTGGGTACCGAGAATATAAGGCCCAACCGGCCACCAATCTTGAGCTAATTGCTCCTACATCTAAGGAACTCGAATTAGCACTTGCCTAAAATATCTCTAGCCACTAGCCTGACTTGCAGCGGCAGCCGGCATGGAGGCCGCGTCCCTGGGCGCACCAGCGGCCCTGCGGACATCACGGGCGCGCCTTCTCCTCTCATATGCGTGGCCCCACATGACAACTTACATGTGGATGTGCTTCCGGAACAATAAAGTATGGTTTGTTCTGAGCCTTCCATTCATGATTCCACAATATAAACGGAACGCGCAGTGCACGGGGATCCATCTCTCCTGTCGGTCGGAACCATTTGACAAAATCAGCTTCAGACACTTCATGACCATTGATGTCTAGTAGAAGTTGTTCCTGAGAATCAAGCTTCTCCAGAACATGTTGATTGTACAAATATTCTGTTTGTGCACGGCTGTTCTGGCCCCCCAGCATATCCTTAATATCGTCATCCAATTCCGTGCATGGTGGTACATAAATGTGTGCCTTAGCAAGAAGAGCTAATCCCTCTTGACCTATGTCATCAGGTCTTGTCCCAGCTGAAGGCAGAAAGCTTTCGTAACAGGTGGCTGCCCTCCGCTTTAACTGAAAAAGGAAAGTCAACATGCAGCTGTTACTTACTTGAGCTCAACAGAAAGCTCAACAGGAAAGTGAACAATCTTGGACAAAGAATGCCTCTAATGAAATGTAGCTGTTACTTACTTGAGCTCCTCCATAGCCATGTGACGATTTAGATTTACACCAGGCAATAATGCTCGACAGCTCATTTTTATCATACTGATTGATGCGTGGAAGGCTTAAGGTCTTCTTATTTGTTATGTCACAGTCCACATATCCAAGTAATACACCTGTCAAGCATATTTTGGTGTTGTCAAACAGACATTGCTGGTAGCTGTAATAAGGGAAAAAAAAAAAAAATAGAACGAGACAAGATTGAGTCATACCATTGGGGACCATACAGCACCCATGGATGATTTTTGATTGTTTCTCTGCTTTCCATTTTTTCACCGAGTCCCTCAAATCTTCGTACACAACTGTCGACCAGTCAATCTGACTAATCAAATCCAGATTTCTTGTGTACATGACTGCCTGTTCATTTACGGTGCTGCTACTTCCTGGCAGCAGATATTTGCTTATCACTATCATGAAGAATAGTCTAAGTTTTAGACCTCTGTCTTTAGTCTTTTTCAGCACATGTTCAATAAGCAGCATAGAAATACTTTCCTTTGGTTTCTTTGCTTGTTCAATAAGCAGCATAGAAATACTTTCCTTTGGTTTCTTTGCTTCCTTTGTCCTGCCACGTTCATCTTCCTCAACACCTTTCTTTGTCCTGCCATGTTCATCTTCCTCAACATCCTCCCCAGCATCACTGTCCTGTTCTTGCTCATCACCCTCCCCAGCATCTTCCTGTTCTTGCTCATCAACCCCCCAGCATCTTCCTGTTCTTGCTCATCACCTTTCTGTTTATTTCCTTTTTTTTGGATAAAATCATCACCTTTCTCTTTTTCAAGTATAGCACGCACTTTATCAAATTCATCATTTCTCTCCTTAAGTGTGTATCTTGGAGGCATCACTCCAGTTCCATATGGGAGGTTCAAAAGTTTTTGAATCGTCCAAGGAAATAGCCTCAGCTTTTCCCCTGCCTTTGGTCGCATGATGATACACTCTCGTTCAAGATCAGAGATGTCGTACATCCACCGTACGAAATCTCTCTTCCCCACTTTTTCCGCTGTTAACTTTACAAATGTACCGAATTTGTAGGTTTCATCAACCTCTCTTTTCAAATCTTCAGTAAGGAATTTTAGAGCATCTGGGATTGCTTTTGAAGAACACCTACAGGTGAGGCTCGAACCAACCATTTTTGCCATCGTAAGAAACCTAAGCACCTACAGACAGAGCACCCGCAACGGGCTCGGGTTTTAGCGACTGTGCTTAATGTGCAACAGTTGCTATTGATGTTGTTGGATAGTCCAACACTAACCTACACAATCCATAGTAATCTGAATTCAATTTTGCTCATGCAAAAGCCTGCACAGATGGATCAGACAATCCATAGTAATCTGAATCCATTTCTTCTACCGCTGTCCATAACAGTTGCTATTGATGTTGTTGGATAGTCCAACACTAACTGGTTGTCAAGTGCCTCAGCACCCAACGATGCAGGACCGCGGCTACGAAGCTCGTAGTCGCGCTCCAGGCTTCACCGCGAGGTTTTACCCCTCAGCTGGTGGCTTGACGAGAATAGGAGAGAATAGATTAGATGGTAATGACTTGCTTAATTGATATTGTTCTGGGTACCGAGAATATAAGGCCCAACCGGCCACCAATCTTGAGCTAATTGCTCCTACATCTAAGGAACTCGAATTAGCACTTGCCTAAAATATCTCTAGCCACTAGCCTGACTTGCAGCGGCAGCCGGCATGGAGGCCATGTCCCTGGGTGCACCAGCGGCCCTGTGGACATCACGGGCGCGCCTTCTCCTCTCATATGCGCGGCCCCACATGACAGTTCATCTGTGGTAGATTCCTATGCTTCTTATTTTGTCACTGTTAAACTGTGGCTTATAAAAAAGTAACCTACTGTTGTCTTCATAGCTGAATGCATTTTATTCCCTCTATACCTTTTGTAGCTGTGTGGTAAAATTCAAGAATCATATTTTGGAAGTCATTTAGCCAACCACTACTGATGCTGTTTTCATATTACCAATCAAAGTAATTTTGTGCATTTTGACAGTTAGCTTAAAATACTCCTATTTTGTTAACTTTTAATGTTCTGCCCTTGTTTCATATCACACAGCTGTCATTGGACTTCGAGAATTTCCACTGCTTGCCTCTTTCGCCAGTGCTTAATGCAAATGGAGATATTGTATGACTGCATGAACCTTCCTAAATTTCATTGCGTGATTCAAGATTTTTTTTATTCATTTGCTGTGCATTTTATGCTCATTAATGATACTTTTGTTTCTTCCATTTATACTATGACATGACACTAGACCAGTGGGTGTAGCTTGGTGGATTGCCTAAAGTACTTTACTGTGGTGGAGCATCTTGACAATTATCGTTGTGATCGGTGTTGGCACATCATTGCTGCCAAATTTCTGTCTCTTAAATCTGAAGTTGATGAGGTAATTATGTTCTACTTTGTATCAATTGTCACTGCACTGGAAATTCTATGGCACCCATGTTTTGTTATAAAATTTGACTTTGAAATGTTGAGTATGACAACTTCATTGATAACTGTTACAGGAAAAGGTTAGCAAGCTTAACACCTGCGTCGACTATGACACTTGCAGTTGCAGGGATATGTTCCCCATGGAGGAAATGCCATGTTCATCATCTTCACGAGCAACAAAGCAGTTGATTATAAGTCAATGCCCGAAGGTATCCAAAATTGAAGTACTTGTTGAGACTTACGGTTAGAGTACGTCAGGGGCCTATTGGGCCTGGGTTGGCTGTATAGCCCATTAGTGTTAGGGTTAATTAGAGATAAGGGTCGCTTACTTAAGGGTCAAGTAAGCCTTGCTTGGGAGTCAAGTAAACCTCTCTATATAAGGAGAGGAGATGTATCGATCTAATCAAGCAAGAATTAAGAAGGAAATCCCTTCCCTCTTGTCCGGCCGTGGGCAAACACCCCGCGGCCGGCTCTTTCTCTCTCACCCTCGCAACCCTAGCCGTGAACAGTACCCGCGGAGCGGGTACTGTAGCGCGCCAGCCGCCGTCGCTCCCCTCGACTCTCTCCTCTCGATCCTCCAGCCACATAACAATCTGGTATCGGAGCATAAACTATCATAAAATTAAGTAACAACCTCCAATATGTCCTCTTCCAGATTTTATGCATCCATTTGCTACGTGCTTCAGTCAGTCTTGACGGTGAGCCCATCAAACATCAGGTAAGCCTGCTGCTATATGCGAAATGTGGTTACTCTATCACACAATGTAGCATACCGAGAGATCAGTACTTCAACTGCAGGGACATATTTCTTTCCCTTTAATTCTCAATCTATCCCCATTTATGGGAGGTGCATCGAGCGCTGGACCTTTAGTGATGAATGTGCAAAGAGATGGCCAACAAGCTCTCCATCTATATCGACAACTGAATATGCAGATGAGCTTAAATGCCTTGCCTACTGGAGGGTACTTATCAAGTCAGCCGTGTAAGGAAGAAGCAACAAACAATAGTGGCCACTCAATTCACGTGGTTGGTTACTCCACTTTTAAAATTTTACTACCTGATTTGGGTGGTAACTGATAAGGATCTGATCACTTGTCATTTTCTGGCAAATGTTGATGTGTCTAGTAGTTCATCATCATCACCGCATCCATCAATGAGCAAGTTATATGGTCTCTCGGCTGTCGTTGAGCACTACGGGAAATGTGGAGGAGGGCATTATGCTGTTTACAGGAGAGTTGCATCAAATCCTGACCCTGATGATCCAGGGAAACCTCTTGCAGGCCTTGGCAGGCGGTGGTTTTACATATCGGATGGCAACGTATCAGAAGTTCCAGAGGAGGATGTTTTGTGTGCAGAGGCCACGCTCCTTTTCTATGAAAGATTGTAGTCGCTTGTTGAGTAGCTAACATATGCATCATAACAAAATTTAGGGCAGTTTTGTTGTGAAGACTCGATGTTCTTAGCTGTACGGTAAGCCTCCAAGTAGAGGAGGAAACTAGCCGTGGCACGAAAACATCTCAGCGTCTCGCCATGGCTGCTTTCAGCTTGATACATGGACTTTAGGCGTGTCCTAGGCAGTGGCCTTCTGGGTCCTGCAAACGGGAAAATTCTTCTTAACGCAATACGTTTGGGGGGTGTTCCTCTTAAGAATAAATCAGACCTTCATTGTTTTGTGACATTGTAAGCAGCAATTGGTGGATCATGTGAGTTTTGTTCTGATGATGATGAAATCCGTGAATCAACTTTCGGCTCACTGTGTTTCTGGTTTTCTTTTGTCCTTTTTGACAAGGAGTTTGTGGTTTTCTATCAGCAGCTGCCAGCAGCATAATAAAAAAACGCCAAAAATGCAGTTCCACTGCAAAGAGCCTTTTTAAAAAAAAAAAAAAAAAAAAAGAAGGGTGTATGAGAAGCCAAATGCAGAAGGCTGCATGTGAAGCCAAATGCAGTTTCAGTGGGACCAGAAAAAAGGGGTGATGTCTATCAGGAAGGACAACTGGGTAATCACGCCAATTGATAATCAGCTGTATTTTTTTTGGAATGACTCTATCACTCTATCTTTAATCTCTCCTTTCGTTGGCAGGCGTTTCCAAGAGCTGGAAAACTGCAACTCTGCCGTAAGGGAAATTGTTTTGGCAGCCCCTCACACGACCCAGCAAGGCACAGCCCCTCACACGATGCAGCATGCCAGCATGCCTTTTACCTGTTTTCCTGTGGTACCTGCCAAATGTTTGGCGAGCCAGCTTGCAATGCAAAACCAGCCGCGATTTATTATCTGTGGTATTCTTTTTTAAAAAAGGTATTATCTGTGGTATTGCCAGTGCCAAAAGAATACAATAATACCGCCGAATAGCGCGATATATCGCCGTGACCGGCAAGAATGAAAATATCGCCGGTATATGCCAACTTGTGTATGGGCCAGGCTTTTTTGGGCCATTTGTGCCCAATCCCAGTTCCCAGCCCGAGTGATCCTTAAACTTGATTCAAATTGAGCGGGAACAACCGTGGTCCTCAACACCATCTTCTTCCGTGGATCAAGATGAAGATGCTGAGATGGGTATGAGTCTAGGAGCTCCTCTTCTGAATCAGAAATGGGTCGTGAATAAGATGTTTGATGTTTATGGAACAGTACAGCTTGTAAATCCGATGCTTAACTGTTTAGTGCTTATTACCTTGTTTGTGAGTTGTAGGCTCGTGGCTGTAGTTAGTACAATCCACTTCTGAAGAGTTGTTACTTTGGAATATGAATTGTTATCTTGGTGTTAACTTCCCTACTATCTTGAAGAACTTGGATTTTGGCCTGTAGAATTTAGAACTTGGATCTTGAAGAGCTTGCCCTGGCATGGCAAAATGGGTTTTTGAGGTGTTATCAAGTGGGAATTCCTTCAGGGAGACATTTTCCATTTTGGTAAAGCAAAGTTGTAACTTCGATTTGATGCATTGCTATTGGCAAAGCAAGTTGTTACTTTGAGTTATGAATTGTTATCTTGGTGAAGTTGAACCTGTTTACTTTTACTTTTGGAGTGTAGAAAGTTTCATAAATGTCGTGCCGCATGATTGCCCTAGTAGAATTTTAGCTCAAATTGGTAGAACCATTCAACCATGTATGCTTAACAGGGATCGTTGTACTTCATCAAAACACAAAATTTCACATATAAAGATATATCAAAGAAAATAAACTACCATATATTTCAAACTTTGTCAAAGTGCTATGTGTCTTGATTAGCAAAAACTCCTAGCTATGCAATATCATAGTAGGTAAGTTGCCATTAGTAATATTCTTTTAACATTTATCGCCCGATTTTTTTTGTGTGTGTGTGGAGCATGTCTGATATTCTTTTTAACTCTTTATTGCCCGATATATCGCACTTATATAGTTAAACGATAAACAGAATTTCAGCCGATATGCGGCGCTTTATACTATCTCTAACCTTGATGATGAGGCACAGAAGCTGCTAAAAAATGCTGTTGGTGGTGTAAATCTTTTCTTTGTGCCAACCTCTCCATCACAAATCCCCCCTCCCCCCACTCCCCTGCACACCCCACACCCTCCTCTCCTCCTGCATCCACTGCGCCATGTCTCAGGAAGGAGCCAACCTGCCCCAAGAAATGGAGGGGAGCCATGATCAGGCCACCGCCCTCCACGGCAGCATCCCGGCGACGGCGACCGTGATGCCGGCCGGTTCCAACTCCAGCTTTGTCAGCATGCTGGCCAGCGCCGTCAACAACGCTGGGTTGTCCGAGCGTGCCAGCCCGGCGGTGCTCTCTACCGGTGAGGATAGCAACGCCGCGTCCAAGATCGCCAGCCTGGCGGTGCTCCAGGCCGGTGAGGACAGCAGCGCCGCGTCCAAGATCGCCAGCCCGGCGGTGCTCCTTGCCGGCGAGGAAAACAAAGCTGAGTTCAAGCTCGCAAGCCCGGCAGTGCTCCTTGCCGGCGAGGAGAAGGGCAACGACGCTGCTGGGTCCAAGCTCGCTAGCCCGGCGATGCTCCATGACTGCGACAACAGCAAAGCCGGGTCCCATGCTGGCGTGGACAACAACGCCCGATCCAAGCTCGCCAGACCGGCGGTGCTCCACGCCGGCGATGGTAACAACGGCGGATCCAAGATCGCCAGCCCGGCCGTGCCCCAGGCCATCGTGGACAACACCACCGGGTCCAAGCTCGACAGCCCGGCGGTGCTCCACGCCGGCGAGCACAACAACGCCGGGTTCAAGGTCCCAAACCCCACAGTGCTCCATGCCAGCAAGGACATGGACAACAACGCCGGGCAGCCCAAGTTCGCCAGCCCGGTGTTGCTCCATGCTGGCGAGGACAACAAAGCTAGGACCAAGCTCGCCATCCAGGCGGTGTCCCATGCCGGCGGTAACGCTGGGTCGTCCAGGCTCACCAGATCGGCGGCGGCTGCGCTCCATGCCGCCAAGGAGAACGCATCCAAGCTCGCCATCCAGGTGGTGCCCCGCCCCCATGCCGGCAAGGACAACAGCGCTGGGTCGTCCAAGGCTGTCACCAGACCAGCGGCGGTCGACGCCGGCGAGAGCAACCTCAGCAACGCCAAGGAGGGAAACAACAACGTAGCTGGAGAACAACGTGCCCATAAGGCCGACGTGGGCGGCGTCAGCGGGAAGGGCAACGCCGCCGCGGTGGAGGACGCGGACCCCAACTTGCACATCTTTACGGAGAGGGAGCGGAGGAAGAAGATGAAGAACATGTTCAGCACCCTGCACGCGCTCCTCCCCCAGCTCCCCGACAAGGTCCGTGCATGGCTCTTTTTTTTTTCTTTTCTTGATTGAAGTTTTCCATGAGCGATGTCGAGATGATGTGCGCGCGCAAGTTGAAAAATCGTTCCTTTGTTTTTCTTCGCTGTTTTCGTAAATCTTTCTATTCATATGCAGATCACCAACTACATGCGTTGTCGCGAATTCTAGATTTTCACTTATTAGTGCTTGCTTTGGCAATGGTGTGATCATTAGAAGTAAATGGGGGAACTTTATTTCTTATTAGGCAAAATTTGCTCGAGGACACCGCAGAAACGTGTAATTGGCTGGCACACACCGCCAAACGGAAAATTTGCTCAGTATCATACAAATATGTGGTTGTTTGCCGGTGGACGCTGCGCCAAATAAAATAATCATTTCCACCATTACGAATAGCGGTGCGTGTCAGGCAGGCAGGGGCAAATATATCTACTCACTACGCTTTCTCTCCGAGCAGTGGAAATGATTATTTTATTCGACGCGGTGTTCACTGGCAAACAACCACAAATTTGTAATGTTAGTGGGCAAATTTTCTGTTTAGTGCGTGTGCCGGCCAATTGCATATTTCTATATATGGTATCCTCCAGCAAAATTTGCCTTCTTATTACTAAAGCATCTATGGAGTTCCCCACATCCGAATTTTATCTTCTCCGTATTCTCACGGCATCCTTCATCAGCTAGGTTAGGTTTTATATCTCTAATTTGGATGCAAGTAGTAAGGAGGCAAGGGCATTCTGGTTTTCTAGGTATATAGATTTTGCTATGCTCCAAGACACACATTATGTGTAGATACATAATAAAAACTATGTATCTAGAAAAGATAGTACGACTTACAATTTGGAGCGGAGGCAGTAGTAAATAGCGCGTTAGCACTAGATCTTTATGTTAGGCTATTGGATATGAGTTAGCATGTCAACGGATTGGATGCTACAAAATTGGCATGATGTTACCGAAGACGAGCACTAGATGTGGATACCCGATCCAAATAAGGAAGAAAGTCGATATAGCCTGTTGGGTTTGGATCCGTTCCATATGTAAAATTAAAGTACTACTGTACGTAACGGCTTGACGTAGTTTCTTGTTTTTGATCGAAATACAGCTATGAGGCTTGATGTAGTTTCTTGTTTTGGATCGAAATCCAGCTCACAAAATAAATTAGGGGAGAAAATCACATAACTTAAGAGCATCTCCAGGAGTTTGGTAAAACAACTCCCTATCTTAATTTTTTAGCAAAAAGGAAAAAACACCTCCTCCAGCAGTTCGATAAAAGAGCTCCTTAAAAAATAAAAAATTGTCAAATATCCTCCTTAACTCATATATTTTCAACGCCGAGAGAACTCTCCATCTCTCCTCCGTGGACCTGTTTTTACGGTACTTCTCGCGCGAGAGTTTGTTTTTACCATGAGATATATTGTTGGCTTGATCTATTTCGCCGCCGCCCATCGGTCCGACCGCCGCTGCCCTTCTTCTCCGAGACTCCGACACAGCTGGTGCGTACATGTCCTCCGCCCTTGCAACCTTGTTTCCATGGTTGTGTGCCTGATGGTGGCATATAGCAACAGCCATATGCATGGCCAAGCGCCCAGGCAGGGGTGGATCCAGGATAAGCTCCTCGGGGGGGGGGGGGGCTAAATA